TGAAATATATTATCTCATTTAAAAATAATAATAATAAAAAAAGAGACAGCTATTAAGAGCATCATCTTAACTTTTTGGCAAACATTTGAGTTATAATGTTTAATAAATCGATTATTAATTTTTAAGCTTATACTTGTGGAGAGTCTAGAGACTGTATTTATATATATTAATAACACGTCCGCGTAGAAGAGTATATATATATTAAGCTCGCTTGACTTATCTCGTTGACGAGGCTATATTATTGATTATAAAATGTCGGAACATTATGCCAATTAAATTGGTCAGCACATTTTGCTTTCAAGTATTAATGTAAAATAAAATTGTCTCCTCATAAATAAAATTAAATAAAATAAAATAATCCCAAAAAACTTATTCATAATTATCCCAAAATTAAATAATCCTTATTCATAATTTGTAGATCAAAAAACTGATAGGCTCTCCTATGCCCATCAAACACAACGTTTAAATCATTTATAATATAATCTATCTAACCTTCTAGCTATCTAAAAGGGCAAAAAAAAAAAAAAAAAAAAAAAAATTATCCAAATCTTTCTTTGCCGACATATGGCAATTCCACATGACTGAGTTGGGGCCACATTATGAAAATGAAAGAGGGAGTTTGGAATTTTAGGGCGCGTTTAGAACTCATTATAAATTAATTTTATTTTTTTTATGAAAATAAAAATTAAAATATTTTCAATTTCAGACATAAATTATTTTTAAAAATACAATTAGTAGTTTTATCGAGATATTATTTTTAATATAGAAAACTCATTAATGTCTCTCTCTCTTTCTCTCTGTTCGAGAGAGGTGAAAACAAAAATAAAAAATAAAAAATAACTCTTTTCATTTCTCACTCATTTTACACTAAACTAAAAAATCGTTTCATTTCTGGTTTTTATTTTTATTGCGCCAAACGCCGTTTTAGAAACGTTCCTATTTTTTTTTTGAAAAACGTGAAAGATAAAAACAAGATCAATTCTAAATACGGCCTTAATACCCCCAAGTCAATACTAATTAAGCCAAAAATCTAGTCTACCTCTGTTTATTAATCATCATTTATTTTTTGGGTTTACTACGGTTCGTGATGATTTGTTTAGAAAGAAAACATTAACTTCCCTTTGGACATATCGGATTCAAGAATAAATTCTTTTAGGGCGTTTTGTGGTGCAGAAGCTATACATCATCGGAGCAAATTTTTAAACCATAAGATTGAGGAGCTTACGTAATTACATTCTCATCTAATGGTTAAAAAACTTGTCACTCATGCATTTTTTTTAGTTTTCAATTTCGTCTTATCATTAAATAATAAAAAAATATTGTTTTGACCATTCCACTAACATTTTAGAGCCTCGAACATCAAAGTCCATAACACCTTGTAAATTACCCTTATTATTATTATTATTATTATTATTATTATTATTGTTATTATTATGTTACAGTCAGCTAGCCTAGTAGCCTTGTATCATATTATCGTTATAGATGTGGACGTTGAAGCTGCCCTGGTGCCCTATCTGCCTTGGTGCCCTATCTGTCCTCCATTTCAGTTTGTTTCGCTGATTTGAGTTTAGAATTCGAATTGAGATGTGATTTTATGTGAAAGCTTTTACTGTAGCAAAAAAATTAGATGTGACTGTTTATGAGAGCTTTTTACTGTAACAAAACTCGAATTTTAAACTCGAATCAGCGAAACGAACGAGGCATCTTCAATAAAAAAAATAACATTTTTCTATTTTCTATTTTCTATTTGTTTTTCATTTTTAGAAAAAAGAAAAGCACGTGTTATAAAGTCCATAACACCTTGTAAACAAGAAATAAGGACAAAAAATCCCCACCTAAACTTCTCCCAATCTCCCTTCTTATGTTAAGTAGACGTTTGGTTCATGAATTAGAATCATGAGATTAGAATATTTTTTATTTACGTGTATTTTTTATAAAAAAAAATACTGTAACGAACCATGAATAATGATTCGAATCAGGATACCAATCATCTTACTAAACACACAAGTCTCGGGCAAAATGACAAATTCCCCTATATTATGCATGTCCTACTCACACTCCATTATCCGCCACGTCCCTTCCCTTTTCTTATCACAATCTTGACTTCTATGGTTTTAGTCATGTACTCAGCTTAATATTTATATATTTTTTATTTTTAAAAGTAAGATCAATATCAGTTTTTAAATAACAAATAAATTTAATGAAAATTGTTGAAAATATATATTTAAAATAGTGTAATATCATATGGGTAAGGTGTTTTTTTTAACAATACCAAGGAGTTTTTAGTCAACTTTCAATAAGTTATAAACAAAGATAAAATTGAAGTTCATCCAAAATTCAATTCACAAAACGAATTAAACTCTAACAAAATGTATACATAGAGAACGAGTTCTTGAGTGTCTCTTTTGATCCGTCTTCATCTTGCTGTTATTTGCTGACTGTTATGGACAACGTGGAAGAAAATTATCAATTTTGGCGTTAGAAATTCCACAAAATTAAACTAAAAGAAATTTAAAAGGTTGGGTCCCACTTAAATGCCACGTCATGCGGGCAAAAAAAAAAAAAGGGAGCCGTGCAGCAATTCTTATCTAAAGAGAAGGATTTTGACGTTTGAAAGAAACGTTAAAGCTGTTAATTTTATTAATTTGAGTTTTTAAGTTTAATTTTGTTATAGTTAAAATTTTTATAAAAAAACATATTTAATATTAGAAATCAATGATTTGATAAAAATAATCACTTAAAAGTTAAAAATATTTATGTCAAATTATCAAGAATTAATAAATTTATAAGTGGAAGCGGATTTGAATCTATATTTATTGATTTCTCTCTAGAGTCGTATAATTTACCATCTAGATCAACACATTTTTTTAAAGAACTTTTTAACTTTCTTTCTGTACTCTCTATGACGATGAAATGTTAAAATGAATAGAATGTAACGTGTGATCTGAAAATCATAACCGCTATATTTAAATAATTTTTTTATTATCTTTTAATATTTTTATTTTAACCTATTATAAAAATAAAAATTATTCTTAAATCTGTATACATTAAAAACTCATACTTTATTAGATATATTAAAATTTTAATAAAAAGCTCTCACAATTTAAATCAACGAACTCAAACGAGAGGCCTTGAACGTTTACAAATTCTCTGCTCAGTGACGTGAGGGGCCGTCCCTTCCACCTTGCCGTCGTTCACCGTCTCTCCCACCTCGCTGTTTGCCGCGACTTTGGTAATCTCATTATCTATTTCTTTCTTTCTTTTATTTTTTTTTCTTCTTCCTCTCTCTCCTTTTGCGGAACTCAAGTGCATTTTTTATAACGTTCGTAGACTTGAAATGCCAAGATTCATTGGTGCACATCAAACAGAGACATATGCACTATAATTTTATATGGTTTGGTAATCTTTTATATCAGATAGTGAAAGCCACATTGATAATGCTTAAAACTTCATTGACATGAAAGGACAAATGTTTTAATTACCAAAAAGTGTTTGCTATCAGTTGTTTGTTTTTGTGTATTGCCTATCAAATGTTTCATGAAATTCCTAATTTCGTTTGTTTTTCTTATTAAAAGTTATTAGCTTTAGTGTCAGAGCCATTCACTTTAGTGGGCGTATACTAATTTTTAATTTGAAAAATAATTGTCATTAAAAAAATAAAAAATAGTATCACAATATTTTTTTAAAACTACCTAAAATATATTATAACAGGTGAGAATAAGTTTTCATATGTTAGAAGCGTTACTGTATAATATTTTTATATTTTATATAATAAAATATTTATTTCTCGTTGTATATGACCAAGTTACCATCCGTCTATTATTGTCCAATTTAATTTATAACTGATTTTTGATAATATTCATATTAAAAAAAAAAAACTCTTTGCATTGCAACATGTGCAACCAGTGTCAAAGTAATGAACCATTAAACTAAAAAATACACATTATTGTTTCTTCTCTCAACTAAGTTCTAATTATCTAATAATTCACATAGCCTAAAAAATTATTATAAATAGCAATGTGGTATTCTAATTTGATGTTTTTTTTTTTTTGTTTTGGTATTGATTCCAAGTTCCGACAACATTTTTTTTACTTCCTAGATTTATGAGTTTTTCACTTATCAAGATTATAATAAACGGCCATTTAACAAAATATTGTTAATTAAACTTCTCAAAATAAACACATATATATTAATGCGGATTATGTTGGTGTTATTCAAGAGCATATACCAATGTAGCAAGACTTCAAACACAAGAAAGCATATCTAAAAAAACATAAAACACAAATAAAAAAATAACGGATACCAAAAAAACAAAAAATAACGCAAATTAAAACGATTGAAATATATAAGAAAAGAAAATCAAGGAAAAAAAAAAACAAAGGTAAATAAGAAACGACAATCCCTTTCTTATTCCCCTCTCTTGTTTATTTGTCTTTTGCCAAGCAGCTAGCCTTTTCTCTTTCATCTTTTTGAGCTCAAATTGCCACCATGACATCAATGTTTTGAGTGAGGGTTAGCTTGAGATAGTTCATTTTTAAGTGTGGGTAAAATGAAAAAACTATAAAATTTTAAAATTAATAATTTAAAGAGCCGTTCACTTTGTAAATTACACTCGAGTAAGCTCAATTTGAGTGTAAAATTAGACCAAGTTATGCGTTTTCTAAACACAACTCGAATTTCAAACTCGAGTAATAACTCGAGTTGGTGAGTTTCACTCACTCCTTATTTTTTCATTACTCAAATTTAGTTTTACAGTGCAGATTATACAGAAAAATACACTTTTTTATAATTAGAGTTTGGCTTTAGTACAAGTAAAAATACAAAACTCAAATTTTAATTATCAAATTAATCTTCTCCTAAATACTTAACTCAAAGTCTAAATTAAACTCAAATTTTTTTAACTGAAATTTACTTTCTTAACTTGAATTAATAAATTTAAATTAGTAAAATAAACACAAAACTCAATAGGAAAGCAGCCTCAATAGGAAAGCAGCCCCACTAGGCCCTTAGTACCTAGTGGCTTTGTCGGTTTGTCATTATTAAATGTAACTTTTTGTTTTGTTTTTGTTTTGTTTTATATAGAAACCCAAAATCTTCACTTTTACCATCATTAACAAGTAACAACCATAGCCCTCAGACTTAAACACCTCTTCTTTTGTCGTAATTTTTCAATCCAGAGTCGTATCCCACTCAGTAAAAGACATGGAACATTCCGGCGCCACCAAAGAAACGGAAACGACAAAAACGACAACGTACGACGTTATAGTGATCGGTGGCGGCGTCATGGGGAGCTCAACGGCGTACCAAACGGCCAAGCGTGGCTCAAAGACTCTCCTCCTCGAGCAGTTCGACTTCCTCCACCACCGTGGCTCCTCCCACGGCGAGTCACGTAACACACGCGCCGCCTACCCGGAGGATTACTACACCCCCTTGGTCCTCGAGTCCAACGCGCTCTGGCGACGCGCCGAGGCCGAAATCGGATACAAGGTATATTTCAAGGCCCACGGTCACCTCGACATGGGCCCGTCGGAGTCCGAAATTCTCCGGGCCGTGATCTCAACTTGCCGGAAACATTCTCTTTCTCACCGCTTGATGGACGGGCCGGAGGTTCTCCGGGAGTTCTCAGGCCGGATCCAGCTGCCGGAGAACTGGGCCGCGGTTTACACCGAGCACGGCGGGGCTATTAAGCCAACGAAGGCGGTTTCCATGTTTCAGACTCTCGCTTTGAAGAACGGCGCCGTTTTGAGGGATAATACGGAGGCGAAGGAGATTAAGAGAGGGGAAAACGGCGGTGTTTTGGTGGTTGCGGCTTCTGGGGAGGTTTTTAGTGGGAGGAAGTGTGTGGTGACGGCTGGCGCGTGGACGAAGAAGTTGGTCAAGACCGTTAGCGGGGTTGAAATTCCAATTCAGCCCCTGGAGACCGCAATTCACTATTGGAGGATTAGTGAGGGGCATAAAGGGCACTACGAGCTTAACGGCGAGGCAGGATTCCCAACATTCGATGACTATGGCGATCCGTTGATATACGGAACGCCGTCGTTTGAATTCCCCGGGTTGATAAAGGTCACCGTGCACGGCGGTCAAGGGTGTGACCCGGATGCACGGACGTGGGGCCCCGTGTCAATGTTGGAGCTGAGGGAGTGGATAGAGACAAGATTTGCGGGCCGGGTTGACCCGACCGGGCCGGTGAATACCATATTATGCATGTACTCAATGACGCCGGATGAAGATTTCGTGTTGGATTTCTTGGGAGGGGAGTTTGGGAAGGACTTAGTGGTCGGGGGCGGTTTTTCAGGCCACGGGTTCAAGATGGCCCCGGCCGTGGGGCGGGTCTTGGCAGACTTGGCTTTGAATGGGGTGACAGAAGGTGCAGAATTAGACAAGTTTCGGGTAAGGAGGTTTGAAGGGAATCCAAGAGGTAATTTTAAGGGATTTTGAATTTTGAGGACCATGCCAACTATATAGGAGGCTTAATAATGATCTTAGCGATCACTATTAAGAATCATGAATTACGATAAAAAATAATTTGGGCGAGTGATGTGAGTGTGAGAGATGGATATGTCCTGTAAATTTGCCTCTCTATGTTTAAGTGATTTTCTTTCCTAATAATGAAAATATGGATACATGTAATTTGAGGATATTTCATGCTTTTTTTTAGCAACTATTTGTTTCGATTAGGGGTGATAATTCATGTCACGTGTTGTGTTTTGATCGTTTCTTTTTAAATTTATAGTCAACCTAAACACGACCTGTGACACGAAATTTTTTAAAAACCGCAACACGAACACAACACTACCATTTTACGAATTGACACGACACGACATGAAAATAATTCATGACGCGAAATTGACCTGTAAATTTAAAATTGATACGAAAATTGTATTTTGCAACTTTACGGGTTTACGCTTTTTTTTTTAACAACTATTCGTTTCGGCGCTTTCATTAGCATTTTGCAGCATCGATCGGCCAATTTTGACAAGGATAGGATTGAGTGAAGATTAAAAGTGAAGCTGCCTAGAGGGCCATGAAAGATCAGTTTCAGAAAAAACGACCCCTTCCCCCGTAAAAAAAAAAAAAAAAAAAAGGCCCAAGTTTTGTTTGAAAATTTCTCAATTATCTAAAAAATATATCTCATTAGTTCCGTCAAATTGAACTAGAGTTGTATCGTAATTAACAAAAATATAAATTTAACAAAAGTTGAAAAATATTTTATAGTTCAAACGTCCATGATGATAAGGATATTGATAGATATATTTTAAAAGTTTGTATTTATCTTATAATTATTTATTTAGCTGATGTAATTGTAGATATAAATTTCTATTCATTAATAGAATGTTGTAGCATTTTTTCCAAAGTAAAAAAAAAAAAAAAAAAAACTATATGTTACTATTGACAGTATTTTTACTCCAATTTTTATTTCTAACTTTTTAATTTTATTCTTCCGCATTGTGCATCACGTAGCTAACATTTGGTACAAGATCAATATATGTAATAAAATAGAGAGAATTATTGAAATGGGTCTTAATTTGTACTTATTATATTTAATTAATATAATTATTTGATTAAAAAGATATTAATTAAAAGTAAGAATAAAAATTTAGATTCATGCACTCTAAAATGAAAAAAAAATGGTAGCATTGACAAATACTCTTTAAAAGTGTATGAGTCATAATTTGTACCTTTTACTCTTAATTCATAATATTTTTAGTCAAATAATTACACTAACAAAATGACATTTATCAAGAGTAGGAGATAAAGGTCCAAACTCATGTACTCTTAAGAGTAAATTTTTCATTTTTTTCAAAAAAAAAAAGATTTATGGCTTGTTCCTTATGTTGGATGAGGACATTCAAACGCGAAAAAAATGGATAATTTACCCTTGGGAGTATGAGTTCGGACTTTTACTCTCTTCTCTTGATAAATACTCTTTTGTTAGTGTAATTATTTTACTAAAAAGGTTATGAATAAAAAATAAAGAGTAAAAATCTTGACTCATGCACTTTTAAAGGGTATTTATCAAGATTATCCTTCAAACATCAAACGTATGCACTGTTCATTCCACCAATTCGAGTTTAGAATTCAGAATTGTACTACAGTAAAAAGCTCTCAGAAACAATCACATCTAACTTTTTTGCTACAGTAAAAAATTCTCACATAAAATCACATATAAACTCAAATTAACGAATTAAATGAGCCCTTAAAGGTGGCCCGTGGCCCATTTGTCCTCAACTACGTGGCAAATACAAGGCAAATTTATACACATTTCAACGAAAAATGCTATCAACGAAGAGATCAGTTTTTAATCGTAAAATTCAGCCAAAATCTCATTAGAATAAAAATATATATATATAATTTTTTTAATACAAATTTAATAGTTAAAAACAACACATTTTTTTAGTCATTTTTCATTACACGAGAAAAATCCAGATAAAAGATATGTAAAATTATGAGACTTTTTTTGGTAGTTTGTGAAAATAAATTACTAATAAATTTTTACATTTTATCAGTTAAATTTATATTAAAATTTGTATATTTTACATATTTATTTAATTTAATGTAGTTTTAATTAAATCAAACGTTTAAAAACTGAAATTATCGATATAGTGGACTCCCGAGAAATTCTCAAAATATATAATTGGCTTAAATAGTCTTGTGTCTGACGTCACCTTTTTCACTGAATTCATCTTATACTTTTCAGTCCTTGACGGTGACAAATAGAAGCCCCCTGCCACTCTATCATCTGCCACGACGTCCCTTATCCACAACGATTTATGACAATTTGGAAAACTTATAATGAGAATTTTCAAAATGTTATTGCGAAAAGGCAAATTTTTTTTTTTTGGAGCCACCTCATCGTATTTCTACTGAATTATTAGCTTGAAATGTTGCCATCAACACTGGTGTACAATGGACGTTTTGAGTAGACTTGTACATAAGGACTTGATGAAAATTGAGAGCTAGTTTAATTCGTTAATTTAAAATTTTAATTTGAGTTGAGATATAATTTTATATGAGAATTTTTTATTGTAATAAAAAGATTAGATGTGACTATTTTTAAGAATTTTTTATTATAATAAAACTCGAATCGGTAAAATAAACGAGACTTGAAATTGAATATATACTTTTCTTATTAATACCAAGTAAAACAATAGTGCTATAATAGTCTTTTGAAATATTGTCAAAGATAGTGAACTTGGTGACGTTGGTGATATTAGTAAGCATAATAGTTGTCCTTTTTAATTACTAGCAAAAAAAAAAAAAAAAAAAACAAGATGAGATGCCAAATAACCAGCTGGTTTGAAATTTCATTGGTGCATGACGAGTCTACTATATTGTTTGACTATGTCTTTAATGTTATGAAATGATACTTTAGGAATTTCTCCATCGGTGCATTTTCTAGTTTATGCAGCACAAAAGTTCCCAATTTTTTTTTGTTTTTGTTTTTATTTTGAAGAAAACGGATTGTTTTGACCCTTCAATTAGCTTTTTGTAGGATTAAGTAGGCACTAATTTCATACAAGCTTTAAGTAGCCACTTTTTTTTTTGTTTTTTGTTTTTTGTTTTTTTTTGTTTTGGTTGAATCCTTATTAGGTACGTAGCTTCTTGTAAGTTTCAAAGTGATACTTAATATTACTACTTGGAAGTCATAAAAGGCATTTTTCGGAAGATTGGTCCATCTCTAAATAATAATAAATTTCTTTTTTCTTCTTCTGAAAACAGTTCCGAAGAATGCCCTAAAAGAAAAAACCCTTAATTAAATAGCATTGGTACTGCATTATCATGCTATGAAAGTTCGGTAAATTCTACGATGCAATATAAGAAATATATTATTGAGAGTTCGCTTCGTTTAATGTTCGATCATATCGAAGAATGTCCCTGAAAAACAGCCTTTAAATTGAATTGGTATTGCATTATCACACTAATTAAAGTTTTGTAAATTCTTCGACGCTGTACAATCCATCTCAAAAGCTTAAGCTGTTAGGAGGTGAACCAACAATAATTTTATACTTTTAACACTCCTCCTCACGTGTGGACTGGATAACGGACAATCGTGTATCCAAAAATTAATTAGAAAGTCTAACACGTGAATATTTAAGCCCGAGATATATTAAATACCCAACACATGATGGCAATTTAAATGAAGATAAATAGTGTAATTACGGAAATTTAAACTCAAAACTCTCCGCTCTGATACCATGTTAGTTTACCAATTCATCCTAAAAGTTTTAGTTGTTAAGATGTGAGCCAATAGATGCAATATAAGAAATACATTATTGAGATTTCTCTACTTATTAAATCATATCATAATCATTAGAAAAAAAAATTAAGAAATTAATGGTCTATAACTGCATGATACTAAATAGCTTTTCTTTTTCTTTTTCTTTTCTTTTTTTTTTCTTTTCTAATATACCCCTATGACATAATGCTCCAAAGTGAGGCAAGGCAGTGGCGCATATCCGTGTAGGGAAAAAACTAGTTAGTCAATGTCGTAAACATGATAGTCCGTGACTTTATGTTGGACGTGGAAGCTTTTTAAAGGTTTGGTGTCTATTTGTCCTGATGATCAACTATTGCAAGCCATATCCAAAACAGATTGCGTTTTTCTAATCCTAAGCCATGGCATGTACGCTTGCCCCTCGGTCACTTTACGATCATCGCCTGTCTGTCGTGAGACAGAAATTATGCTTTGATCATCGTCTGTCTGTCGTGAGACTGAAATATTATGCTTTGATCATCGTCTGTCTGTCGTGAGACTGAAATTATGCTTTGATCATCGGTTAATCATATATGATTTGAACTAACGCTGATTATAAACTCGCTCGATATTAGTTGATAAAAGTAAGGATCCGATTTCTTTCCATTCTACTTAGTAGATTACTTAATATACGTTTGGTTCATGGATTAAAATCATGTGATTAGAACTATTTTTGATTTACGTGTATTTTTTGTAAGAGAAAACACTGTAGCGAACCATAAACTATGATTCAAATCATAATTTAAATCCTCAAATCAAACGTCAGTATCGTTGAGCTGAGAATATGAAAATGTCATTATTAACAAAAAAACATAATAAATAGCATTTTTATGAAATTAAAAGTAAGTAAATAGCAGTAAATAATTCCATAAAAAATAAACATGAATAAAATTACTAGATAATTAATGTATTTACTTTGTAAGTTTACTATTTATTAGAAGTAAATAAAAAATTTACTTGATAAATTTACTATTTATTGTTATTTTCTTCAAATACTTTCAAAACTTACTATTTACTTCAATTATTTACTATAAAAATGTTGGTTACTTCTTTCTAAGAAGAAATTCAAAAACTTAATAAAATAGGGTATATATGTTTGCCAAATTTTGATAAAGCGTAATCGGAAAGGAAAACAAAATTGAATGATCGTACCTTAATTATTCATGAAATAAAACTTATTATACGAACTTAATAATTATTAAATGTGAAAAAACGAAAGAAAATGAATGTTTTTTTTTTTAAATTTTCTAGGAAAGTAATGTAATGGAATTGATTGGTGATTTTACGTGTGTTTCAATTTTCATGGAGAAGCAAAAACTTACAGCTTATAATGAATTATGCGTGAAAATGACTCATCATCTGACGATTAAGTTTCTATTATATGTTTGGGTCAAAAGTTTAAGTGTTAAATTAAGTAATTTGCGTTTCCCTCTAAAAATGGAAGACCACTAATCTATATGCATCAGAAAAAACATAAAACAATTGTTGGCCAGCAATGTTTTGTTTGTTTGTTTGTTTTTTTCTTTTCTAATAAAGTTCCAAAATCATCACGCTAAGAAAATGAGCCATGATCATTTGTGCATATATATATATATATATATAGAATGATTTCTTCATGTTTAAGGAATAAGATCAATGAGATGTTGTACAATTCCGCCTCTAGCTTAATGGGGATCTTGCTTAATTACTTAATGACTTTTTTTTTTAAAATAATTTGAGTAAACAGTTTTATATATTTTCTTCTCTCCTTCTAACTTATATTATCTTTTCCTGTTTTTAGGAGGTGCATTCATCACAAAAAAATAAAAAGTTAGTTTGGTAATTGATATTGTAATTTTTTTTATTTTTTTGCTAAAAGATGTTCAAAATTCTTGCATTAGAATAATTGAATATGAACATGACTATGGTAACATAACAAAATTATTATTTTAAAAAATGAGGACTAAAGTTAATTAAGAGTGATCATTAATTAAAAATATGATAAGAAATTTTTAAGAACAATAATTAACTTAATCCTTCCATTTATAGTAAAATCAAACTGAATGTCTCTTTTTAATATAGTTTTGAAACTAGATTTTTTTTTTTTTCTTTTGAGATCTATAGTTTTGAGGTTTCCGGTTGGCTTTAAACGTGATAACTAAGGTACTTAATTCTTCTAGCACACATTTTTATTATTACGAAAATAGTAAAAAATAGGCTAATATGAAAAGCTTAAGAAAGTATATAGGTCAATTTTTAGTTATAGAAATTAATAGGTCATAACTTGTCAAGTTATGGTTCATAGCCAGACAAGTTATGGACAAAAACTGTGAATTATGGACAATAACTTGTCAAGTTATGATTTATAACCAGACAAGTTATGGACGAAAACAGTAATTTGGCCTATTTATTAGCTTATGTAAACTATTGGCCTATTAATTTTAATTCATCTCAAGTCTTGACCTATTTTTCTCTTTCTCTCTTTTTATTAACTCGTAAAAGTTAACATTTATTAAAAAAAAAGAAATAAAAGTAAATATTATCGGACAAATATATATATATATATATATATTGAGAAACATAGGAAAAAATATTTGATCACGGAATAGCAATTATCTTTTGGAAATCTGTCAATTTAATTTGTTATTACCAAATACGTTCACACCTATTCAAACACGAAAGATACAGATAAGACCTAGATCGTAAATAGCCTAATTGGAATTCTTTTTCTTTTTTTTTTTGAAGTTTTAATTCTTTGTTTACTTTCTGTAACTTACAGTTGTAAAACTATGAAATCTTCTAGAAAAAAGAAAGCATATTAACTATATATGGCGCATCCTCAAAAAGTAAATTAACGTTTTTTCAAAAGTTAAAAGAAATTAATGCAATATTACTTTTCAAGGGTTTTTCTTTTTTGATCACTCTCTATCAATTATACAATCTTTTGTTGTTAATTTATATTATATTCACACACACACACATATAAATATATATAAAGATATATGTGTTTCTCAAGTGCCTAAAGGCTCCACGTTGAGGCAATCCAGTCATAATCAGATAACTCTTAATTATTAGCCCATTAATAATAAAATCGGTAATTTATATTTGAAATTGTTCATATCTTTTTGCTAGTCAGAAATTGTCCATATTTTTTTATAACAATATTTTGCTTCTATATTTCTCTGTTTCTCAAATGTGGAACAAAGTGGCACACTCCCTAAGTTTTCTTTGTCCTTTTATTTTATTTCTATTTTATCGAATATTATTTTCTTCATCTAAAATACATGATATATATGTGTACTAATTGGAAGACTTTCCACTTGCATTAATGTTCACTTTGGTCCATGATGACCTAATTTAATAAAATCTAATCTTTATTTCTCTAAAAAAAGGAAAAATTACTTAACTTATATTTATATTTATAGTATATGGTTTGAATTTTTACCCATTATTCTTATTTAAAACCCTTTTAATTAATATAATTATTTCACTAAAAATCAGACTATTTGTGCACCAAACATAAAAAAATATACTATTTAAAGGAATATTTAACTTATTTTAAAAAAAAAATACTATTAATTTTTTATTTTATTTTATTTATTTAATAACGACAAACTGTGGACAATAATATATATATATATATTTGAAAAATGTGGACTATAATATTTATAACATATAAGATGAGAAATATGTAATATGTGTGTACATAAGTTACACGTGTCTGTAGTACCACATGTACAAATGTATTAAAAAAAGATCAGAAAGACAATATCTCAACGATGCATTTATTATTAAAAAATACATATGGTTTTATAACAAAGACAAAATGACATGAAAATAAGAAAGAATTCATAGAATCACACCTGAACACATCTATGCATCAATGTTCTAAAAATAAATTTAAAAACGAAAAAAGAAAAAAAAACTATAAACTCTATGTAAATTCACTCATGAAATTGCGTTATCAAAATAATAATAATAATAATAATAATAATAATAATCACACATGAAAAGCCCCTCTTCTCGCTAAAATTATTATTTGCCACTTTAGAAAATTATAGTCCAAAAGAGAACCAAAGGGACTAAAACTGCAAGGGAAGAAGACATGACCAACGGTGCTAGGGTCACGGCATTTGACTTCGTTGAGTTTTGGTTCTCAGAACCCGGTGCCGGCGAAGACTCACCTCCGGTCGGTGTCGGAGTCGGCTGCGCGGTCGACGGTGTCGTCGGAGAGGGTGATGAAGCCGGAGGAGGCGTCTCGGTTGTCGGAGACGGCGCGGGAGGAGATGACACCGGCGAGCTGGCCGGAGAATTGGTGGATGGCGATGGCGAAAATGGCAACGGAGCTTGCCCCGGTGATCCGGTCGGAGAATTTGAATACGGCGATGGCGAAAATGGCAACGGAGCTTGCCCCGGTGATCCGGTCGGAGAATTTGAAGACGGCGATGGCAAAAATGCCGACGGAGCTTGCACCGGTGATCCGGTCGGAGAATTTGAAGACGGCGATGGCAAAAATGCCGACGGAGCTTGCACCGGTGATCCCGTGGGAGAATTCCACGATGGCGAGGGCGATAATCCCGACGGAGCTGAAGCCGGTGACGTGGCCGGAGAATTGGACAACGGCGACGGAGTTATCGCCGAAGAACCGGTCGGAGCTTGAACCGGAGCTGTAGTTGGAGTGTTCGACGACGACGGAGACGGAGAGCTTGATGGTGAACTCGAAGGCACGGGAGCAGTCACCGGAGGATGAGCTCCGGCGGCCGGAGGAGTGTTAGGCTTCGGCCTGACGGCCAAAACGACGACGATGAGCTTCTGTCCCTTCTGGCAGCTTCCATATTTGCCACTGATGAAGAAGAAAGGGCCAGACCTGTCAAACTTGAACACGGAATCTCCATCTTCAAGTTTCTGAATAGGGTTTTTTGTGTTACAGTTGTTGTAGTCATCTTTGTTCACCACCAACACTGAGTCCGTGCCTTTCTTATACTTGAAATCTTAAACCAAAAAATTCAAAAAAAGAAGAAAAAAAAAAAAGAGTGATCAAACAAAAAATTGTTAAAAACTAAAAACAAAGCAATTTTATGTACAAATTTTGTTTTCTTAATATCAAATTATAACGGTTGCAGGGTTTAATCTAGCGCGATTGTTCTACTTCCAAATCAAACTTCTAATATTCATCAATGGATTCACCAAAAATTCTCAAATTTTTTTTTTTTTGTTTTTTCAATACAAATATACAATTTTCTGAATATTAGTTCGGTAGTTAAGTATATAATATAATGAGATTATAAACAAGTGTACTTACAAAGGGTGTCATTGGCTTGGAATCTGTTTCTTTCAGCCCAGTGATTGAAATTCTCAGAAGGGTTCAAAACCCAGCCATCACTTCCACCAACGTTGAATTTGTAAGCTTGAGAAGATGATAAAAAGCAAGAAAATAGTAACAGCACTGAAACCAACAAGAGAAATCTTTGAAACGCCATAAGAATATATAATATTACAGTGTAAATAATAAGAAGATGTGGTATATATGTATTGTGTATATATTAAGGAGAAAGAAAGTGGCTGAAAAGGAATACACCAGAAGATCCGAGACTAAAACAAGCTTATATAGAATATGAAGATTTTGATATATATATATTTTATATGGAAGCTTATTAAGGCTGGCCAAGAGAGCCGTTGCAAGGAAGGAAATACCGTGTGAATTACACAGGCTACTTTGTGTAACGTTTTGTTTTTTTAGTAGACTTTGATTTTTCTGACCCTCCTGCGTTAAATTTGCACGTGGAATGGCCTTTGTGACTCAACGGTTTTATTTGGGGGACTATTAATTGCAAATGCTTGGGTACTATAGTATTAAAGGTTTTTTTTTTTTCTTTTTTTTTTTTTTTTTTTTTCGCTGGGTTTGTTTTTTTTTTTTTTTTTTTTTTTTTTTTTTTTTCGCTGGGTTTGATTTTCTTTATATTTGTTTGTTTTATTTCATTGATATATAGGTCCAAAAGTCCATCATGATCGCTTGTCTACTATACAAGACTATTTGCATAATCTTTTTTTTAGCATTAAAAAAAAAAAAAAAAGGGATTGTAATCGTTGTTTCAATGCAATTCGACTACTAATTACGGCCTTCACGTGCTTTTTACGGAAATGGAGATTACTGTTTTTGTCTTTGAGAAAAATGAAAAATATTACCGTTTTTCTCTTTAAAGACAAAAAAATTAAAATCATTACAGTTTTTGTTTTAAAAGAAGCGTTTAGTCAGTGAATTCATGTCATGATTCGGATCGTAATTCATAGTTCGTTATAATATTTTTTTTACAAAAAACACACGTAAGTCGAGAATAATTTTGAATTATGATTCTAAATTCATGAACTAAACGTTCACTGAGTATCATGAAAAAAGAAATCTACAGTGCAAATTTTTCTCTGGTTTAAAATTCTTAGTTTTTATAGAGACGCAAATTTAATTTTTCTGATCTCTTGTTTTTCTTTTTTCCTCTCTCTCTCCTCTTAGCCATTACATCTTTTCTTCTGGTCCCCCTTAAATATATCAATCCTTTTCTGATCATTTTCTCAATTGAACATTAATTTATTATGTTAAGCAAAAGTAAAATCATAAAGACACACGCCATTTAATGGAAAGAAATTCTAATCAAATTAGTCAGTAAGAAAAATATAATGTATAAATAAGTCTGGTTTTAAAAGGAAAAAAAATATATATATATATAAATATGAATTTTTTCAATTTGTTTCCAATCTTGGATAATTAAAGTTTAAAATAGTAATTATTTCACAATAATTTGATTTTGGACAGGATTACGCTTCTTTCTTTTCTCCGACCCTTTGTTGGCTATTGGACCCCAACCCCAGATATGGAGCTCTAGGCCCCATGACAATGAGCATGTTGTGGTGTCCCGAAGGTTTTTGCCGGTCTCGTTGTGGCGCTTCTCAGCAGTGGAGTTGCGTGAGTCTTCACTAATTTATCTTCTGTGATCATATTGGCTAGCTTATCGTTGGTGATCTTGTCTGTGTGGCTTAAGAATTTATCTTGTTGTAGGTTTTATTTTAATGTAATAAAGACGATATTGATTTCATCGTTTTTATGTCTATGTGTGTTAATTTTTGTAGTGCTTATAGTTTCATTGTGTAATAACAAAAGAAGTTGCCTTACCCTTTTATGGTGGTGGCTATTCTAGTTTGATAGGCTTTGATTCCATGCAGTATTGTGAGTAATCATAGTGCTTTAGGTCTTTGGATCTCGCTTGATTGTGCTTATTCATCGACTGTAGTGGTTCTGATGAAAGAGCCTTTATCATGCTCTATCTTTATGTGCCGAATTGGATTTTTATTTTTAGATCTCGATATATTTGTTCGCTTCTACAGTTCATATGAACTTACTGGTAGATCCGGTCATTATTCGAGGTCGAATACCCTTGTACTTTGTGGTTATTCACATTTTGATTAATTTTTGTATCCCTATTTTTTGGAATGATATATCCTTTAAAAAAGAGAATATTTTTTCCTCAAACATCCTTTTCAAAGCCTCATTAGACTTGTTGGTCTAATGAGGAGGTTGGGAAGGGTTTTAAGTGAGAATTGTTGGTTTGATCTCACATCTGGAATATATATTTATTTTTTTATTACAGACATAGCAAACAACACGAGCTTTTCCCTTTTTTTTGTTGTTGTTGTTGTTGTAAACCTAGATGTGGTTTTGAGTCCTTACACATAATAAATAATAAATAGAATAACAAATAATGGGAATCCAAAATATATTCTCATGTATTTTTTCTTAATCAAACAAATTCATATGATAAAAAAAAAAGTCAAATTAACCAGGTTAGCTGCCTATTGAGCATGATAACATAGAAAACAGATGTTTTTGAATGGTTATTTGGTCTAGAGCGACCATAACACGGGCGTGTGGGCCATATCTTACTCATGTTATGAGAAGAAGACTATCACGATGTGATACGAGCATAATTTAAGAGTCTGTTTAGTTTGCTGATTTGAGTTTTTAATTCAAGTTAAAATGTGATTTTATATGAGAGCCTTTTATTGTAGCAAAAAAGTTAGATGTGATTGTTTCTGAGAGCTTTTTACTATAGCAAAACTCGAATCGGTGAAATAAACGGGACCTAAATATAACACAACCCACTGAGTGCAAAGAGCATAACTATAACTTGTAGATTAAAAATTAACCATTGTTCACTTGCATATATTAACATTCAATAACGTCTAATAAATATATGTAGATTTCCTACACAAGAACTTATTTTATTTTTATTCATAATGATATATTTTTTCCTTTAATTTATATTATGTCAGACATAATACGGACAAAAGTTTCTACGAGATACACAAGATGTTTTGAGTTTTGGACAGGCACTAACACGACATGGAGTGCTCATAGGTCGAATGCGGAACAAACCACATTACATGAGCCTAAATTTTACAGATCGATCATTGCATTACACGATTGACATTTCTATTTTAAAGCTCTTGATTAAGAAAAAAAAAAAAACTAGAAACGTGGGAATTTTTCGGAAGGGCTTCTCCGCAACTGTTGTGTCCAGCTCACTTATGGAGTGGGCCCCAAGCCCAACTAGATATTGAGGCCCACTTGATTTGAGTCTTTGGAGGACCCAAACTCATGCCCACTTATCCATGAATCCAAAAAAATATCATTAGCCATTAACCTACGTTAATCTCTCAGTTAATGTTAATTGATGTGAAAACCTTTTGAATAAAAAAAATTTTAATTTACATATCACCTACGTTAATAAAAAAAAAAAAGGTTGGGATTTTAGAATTGGTCTCCGACGTATCATTCATATATATATATATATATATATATATTAATTACATCAATCTTTGTTTGTATTAGTATATATTATAATTAAGGAAGCATGTGTATCTCAAACTTTGACAAACTTAACTTTGACATCCTTGTAGTGACAACCTTATAGACTTATAGTGTGTTTGGTAGGGTGGAAAAGAGAGAGGAAAGAAAAAAGATGAAGGATTTTGTAGAGGAAAATGAAATTTTAAGTTGTTTGGTAGAGAAGAAATGGGAAGGAAAGAAAATGAAAATCTATGGGGCCTACCAATTTTTAATCATTCCAACTTTAGGAAGAAAAGAAGAGGGAAAAAGTTGACAAAAAATGAGATGTAAAATAACAATTTTAACCTTCGCCATTCATTATATTTTTATTTGTATTGCGATATTATTGTAAAATATCTTAAATTTGACATTTTCTTTTCATTTTTCTTTCCCTTCTACCAAACAACATGAGAGAAAACCATTTCACTTCCTTCACCTATGTATTTTACTTCTCTTTCCTTACTCTTTTCTATCCATCCTACTAAACATAACAAATCTCCTGAATTTTTCCCTTGGAAGGGAATTAATCCTCTGTATTTTCAATGATACAAAATTTTGAGCCTGCGGTTTTTATACAAAATTTAAGTATAATTATGTCTAACTGGCAAAATAATCTTAAAAGTAGTCATCGACACAGAACTTAATTTGCATCCTAAAAACAAATACCAATATACTTATCAAATATTTTATAAGAAGTAATCAAAAGGTGACTTTTGGATGACACAAAAAACAATAGAAGAAAGAACTCACACATAGATTATTATATATAACAACAAACGTGTATATATATATATATATTTTTATTTTATTTTATTTTATTATTATTATTTTTTTTAAACGAGCAAACTCCAACCCTTCAGAATCTTTGTTCAGATAATGTAGACACATAAATTAAGCAGACAATTATGTGAATAATTTCCTTGATGATCACTGGCTCTGGCCATGTTTGTTGACGCGAGCAAACGGCCAGCAAAAAAAGCAAACAATTTTCGAGCACAGAGGTTCACATTGTTCCCTGCAGTGCGAAGGAGATGAGGTTGCTCCAACAGCCATGCACTTGTTCATGCAGTCTCCGAAACATGGCTCCTCAATGCGGTACCGGATGGATTCTCCGATCTCCATCGACGCGAACAGCACCATTGTCCCGAGGAGGAACGTCGCCAATGCCATCTTTCTTGACACCATTTTTCTTTTTCCTTTCTTTTCTCGCTAGCCAAACAGCACGATCCCCCCCCTTGTGCGGCTTTGTAAGTGGTATATATATAGATATACACACAAAACACAGACCAACTAGGCTGGGAAAAGGGCTGGTTAGGCCTTAATTTGTAAATAATGAAACTTTGTTTATGACAATGAAGGATCAAAGTTTGGTAAATTTCTTGGAGACTTTAGGGTTTTATATGTGTATATGCTTGAACGGCTAAGGTATAATTTTGTGGTTAAGAGTTAATTTTGCATGAGCCAACGGTGGTAAATAAGAGTCAAAGTCAATACCAGCTCAAGGGTGAGGCCATTCAAACTGCCTAAGGCCTCCCTTAAGTCAAGGACCCTTATTATTATAATTAACAAATTTCTGTTAATTACACCTCAAAAAATGTTAAACATATTAATTAGTTTTCTTTTCTTAAAAAAATAAAAATCTTATTGCTTACCTGTTTGTTTCTCAATATTTATTTTTAGCGTTTCAAACGTCTCTTGTAACATATTTGATATTTCATTGACTTGTATTCCTTTTTTTTGGAATAAAGGAAAAAAATCACTTAATTTTGCTATAATTACAGAACATATGCACTTAATTTTTATTCCTACAATTGAATAATTTCCTTTCACTTTGTTCTTAATCACGCAATCTCTAAAAAGAGGTCTTTTCATGACGAGTTGAAAAACAATAGCGTATCAATGTTTTATTTTTTTTTTCTTCTCTTTACTATTATATGATCTTATTATATATACATGGTTGTCATTCTTAACAAGAATTCTTAGGGCTAGTTTTATTATTAAAGTTATTTTAGTAAATTTAGACAATGACATGACAACAGAAGTAGCTGTATAAAAACAATCCACTTCTCAAATTCTGTTTTATAACAGCAGTTTTTAAAAGCTATTGGACAAAAGTAAGATTTACTAAACACTTTACCTGTTGTAACTTTAAAAAAAAGAAGCTAAAAACACCTCTAAAAGTTTGTTAATAATTTTTTATTTATTTATTATGCTAGGGTTTTTTACTTACATTTTTAGTAATAAGATGTCTTATAAACTATGAAAGAAACTTACCAAAAAAAAAAAAGATTGAAAAAACTAACTGAATCACTTACAAGATATCTTTAAAAGTTTTTAAAAATGAAAAGAAAAGATACAGTTGTATAAGTAATAACTAATTGGGGCATTTAGTACGTTTGCCCTTTCTACTTATAGACTCGGGCAATAAAAAAAAAAAAAAAAAAAACTTGTTAAATGGCTAAGTATCAATTCCCCAACTCTAAAAGAGAAAAATCAATGAAGTGAGGTACAATACAACAATTTAGCAAATTGAAGGGATGGATTTTTAAAACTAAAAATTGAGAGGATAAATTGTCAAAATGCGAAATGTTTTAGAGTCAAAATTGTGTAAAAAATTCTATCTGATTGAGTCCCACATCTATAGAAAAGATATATGTAATAATTGGTTTCACTATTTAAGGCCTCGTTCATTTCACCGATTCGAGTTTTTAGTTTTAAGTTTCTACAGTAAAAAGCTCTTAGAAAATGTCACATCTAATTTTTTCTGCTACAGTGAAATGCTCTTATAAAATGTCACATCTCAATTCAAATTGAAAACTCAAATCCGCGAAGTGAACGATGCTTAAAAGTTAAAAAAGATGCAAATATAATTATTTAAAACGTCTACTTAAAATTGTGATCTAGCTTTTTAATCACATTGAGTAGTCAAAAGATTCCTATGGTTGGAGTCAACGAGTCGTCAAACAATTCATATGATTGTAGTCAAACAGTTCATATGATTGGAGTCAAACAATTAATATATTTAGCAAATGCCAGATATGTGATTAGTAGCAGGGCATAATTTATTTTGAGAAAAATTATTCAAACAAAAAGTTAATATGAGAAAAGAAAAAAGAATTTTTGCTTACTGGATCGTCCTAGATTTACATATCAATGGATGTTCATGGAATCCAGCAAGAAAAATGAAAAGCTCCCAAAGAGAAATTGCTCTGTGATCTTAGGACCTAAGTTTTATAGATAACTTTTTGTCAAGTCAGAACGAAGTGTGCGAAGAATTACGTGTATTTTAAAGTGTAAAAAATTTATAACTTAGACTTTAAAATGATGTTAAATCCTGGCATTTTCTCATTCGGAGAAAAAAAAAATGACTTTGAAAACAAATGTAAACATAAAAAAATAAAAAATAAAAAATAAAATAAAAGCATCACTCCACCCTAGAGGGTCAGGTACGGTTATTTTTTTAGGAAAGAAATTTTTGTAATTGATTTGATTTTTGATTTATAAAATCAATTTGTATATTTATTGAAAATTTGTATGTTTGTAGTAATATGCTTAATTTTGTGATTATTTTGGTGTGTAGTGTGGGTAAATTGTTGAGATAATCAATCAATATTAGAAAAATTATAAGGGAGTTTTGTGAAATAAAAATAATACATTTTTGTTATTAGAGTGAAAACCATTGTAATAAGTTGTTAAAAAAAATCATTTTTGTCATATCTATCTATTCAAAAAATAAACTCCAAAAAAGAATTGTTATTCTTCAGGAAAAAATGTGTAGCAATCATTTAAAAAGATGTAGGATTTGTTTTATTAGCAATTTTTGAAAGAAAAAAAAGGATATTTTAGTTATTATATAAAATAAGGGATCAGAAATTGTATTTTGATAAACATAAGAGCTATTTTTGTAATTTATTCATTGTATTTAAACTACAATAAGATGTGAGAGAGTACATGTAAGCCTCATTCATTTTACCGATTTGAGTTTTCAGTTTTAAGTTTCTACAGTAAAAAGCTCTAAAAAAATATCACATTAACTTTTTCTGCTACAGTGAAAAGATATCAGAAAATGTCACATCTCAGCTCGAATTAAAAACTCGAATCCGCGAATTGAACGAGGCCGTAGACTCTTGCTGAGATTTAATAAGAGCGTTTGAATTTTACCTACCATACACTTTCTCATATATATATATATATATTAAAAAAAATCATTATTGTTAAACAAAATCTTCTCTTTGGGACATGGTCTAGAAAAGCAGTATGTATGTATGTATGTATGTTGTTTAAGAGCTTATCCCTTTAATATGCTTGAAATTTATTCAAGCCAAAAGTGGATCTCCTTTCTCATTATTTTCATCCAGCTGCAATTTGGTCCATTTTGTGCGCAGTGTTATCAACATTAGTGTCGCAGCTTGGCAGGAGAGACCACAGATCAAACCTATCCACAATCCCTGTTCCAAAACAAGAGATAAAAATCGGCAAAACTAACTCATAAAAAGCTAATTAGATGCAAATATCGGTACTATTGAAAATGACATATATGATATGTTATTCTATTATGTACTCAATGTATAATGCTATTTCAAATGTTATATATCTATTTTTTGTCATAATTATGAGCTCTTAAGCTTGTAAAAGTGAATTTTTAATTTTAAAATGATTCGAATATGATAATGCTGCAATGACAAAGGGAAAAGTCGAAAGTATGTCAACTCAATAACAACCAAATGTAAAAATTTGACATATGTTATACTTGGGGGCCAAATTTGACACCAAATTTAGCGTATGTCAAATTTTAACACGAAAAATAACATTACGTTAATAGAGAGTGGTTCTCCTATTCAAATGTTAAAATTTGACGTTAACATACTAATCTAAATCAGTATTAGAGATGCTCTATTATCACTCTGCACATTTCCAATAGGGGAATGAGAGATTATTCTTTTAGCTATATGGCTTTCTTTAGTGGCGGAGCCAGCCTTTCACTTCAGTGGGGGTGTATATTAAATTTTTTTTAATAAATTATCTTAGTGACGGCATATAAGAAAATATATTTATTTTAGTGGGGGCATATATTATTTCAATGGGGGTTTAAGTGTAAAATTTTAAAATTTTTAAAAGTAATATTTTTTTTCCAAAAAATTTAAGTGGGACGGTAGCCTCCACTGAGCTGTACTTAAATCCGCCACTGTCTGTCTTTCTTGATAGGTGATGAAAAGAAATATGGCACACCTTGGCATATAGGTTCAACTTAAATGCAAGGATGGCTGCAACGGTCATGCCGACGAAGTAGAACATGGCGAAGTTCACGTACACGGCTATGTGCTGCCAACCGCAGCCTCTAGCCACACCTAAATTTGAGACATTAAAAGAGAACTTGAGGGAAATAAAGAAAAGGAAAGGGTTAACCTGAAAGCATATTGCTGTTAAAATGTTGAATAGTCTTGATTTTTATGGCAACCTGATAAGACACCCTGAAAGGAATCAAGGATTATTGACAATGCAAGCAGGGGTGTCATTGAAGCAAATGAGTTTCTTATTTCTTGACTGTCACTGAAGGACCTGGCCCACAGGTCGTGGCCGAATCCTAAAGCCAAAATGACTATGACGGCGAGGAATCCTGAGAGCTTGAGGGAGACAAACATTGCGCTCTTAGCTCGGTCTGGATAGCCTGCGCCTAACTCGTTCGACACCCTTGTGCTGCCACAATAAACGTTCTTCATTTCAGCAATATGAAGCAGAATGCCGGAATGTTGTTGTTAAAAGAACAGAAAGAACTCTAAAAAAGGCCTTGTTTGGTGAGACGGAATCTGGAGATGAGAATGTATCATGTAAGGGTCCGTTTAGTTCGCTGATTCAAGTTTAGATGTGACTTTATGTGAGAGCTTTTTACTGTAGCAAAAAAAAAAAAATAAAATAAATGTGACTGTTTCTGAGAGCTTTTTACTGTAACAAAACTCAAATTCTAAACTCGAATCAGTGAAATGAACGGTCCTCTAACCCTCTAAATTTTGGAGGGACTGATATTGTGGATTCAGAATCCTACCTCAATTCCTTCCTCTAATCTCTTCTGCCAAAAAATCATAAGTACTAAAATCGATCTACTAGTCTTCGTACTCCCATTCTTTCTTCCACTTTTCCCTTCTATCAAACAAGGCCTGAAGGATTGTTAGTTTATAACTACAAACCTCGCTGTGGCGCTGAGACCGTACGTAACCATGTAAGCAATTGCTTCTGTGTTGACGCTGAAAAGATAATATATCCAAAGAAAATCACTTCAGTTGCCACAGAAATGAAAAGGTTAGAATGGATAAAATCATGGTGAACATGATGTGAAGCTTACCATATTGCAATTAGAGAAGTTGTTACTTCTGAGTTTGGCAAAAGTCCTGCTAAAACTACCAGAATCTCAAAAGCCCAGTACTCCAAGCTTAAAAACACCATGGATGTGAATGAATATAGATCAGATTCAGTTTGACATTTTTCACTATATCTTTTTAAAGTTAACAAGACAGGAATAGAGTTAAAGACATGTACAAATTAAATAGTTCAAAGTTTATGTTACAAAACTTAGTACTAAATATAAATGTACAAAAATTCATGAAGTATAAATCAAAGGAATACATTTCCTTGCTCTGCTCATTATTGGCTCATTGCCGGTTCTCCGATTGCGGGTTGAGATTGAGGCAACATTTCTTTTTCTTGGTCGCGAAGAAAAGAAAAGGGCACCAAAGAAAGAAACAATTATGAACAGTGTTACTGCTTACCATACCATAGCTGCGGAGGGAAGGGCAAGTTTCAAGTTTGTGAAGATGTAACAGAAGGATTCCGCTGAAAATCCTTGCCATGTCCGTCGAAAATCGCTCGATAACATCACGTAAAGGGCTAAAGCAATAAATGCGATCCACAATGTAATTGAGGCTGCAAGTGGAGCTCCTTTGTAACCAAGAGGTGTCAAATACACCAAACAATATGTAAGGCCAATATGAATGGCCAGTGGTATTGCTGAGAACAACACAAGAGGCCTCACAACTGATTGTGTCTGAAGAAACCTCAAGATGTTTTGGAGAAAACCATATGCAAATATGCCTGGAATCAAAAACTTCATATAGATTGCCGCGGTTTTCGCTATTTGAGGATCTTGGTGGATGAAGATCAGTATCGGTTCGGTGTAGAGCCAGAAGAAGGATATCGCGACTGAGAAGAGAGCAGACGTGATGCAGGCGGCTTGTAGATGAATCCCCAACATTTTGTACAACTTTGCGCCAAATCCTTGCCCGCAGAGCGTTTCAAGAGCTCCACTTAATCCAACCTGAATCAAGAATTCAAAATAATTTGAGAAAGTTAACAATTCTCGTGGAGGAAATTAATTAGCCTCGAAATGGTAGTTGAAAACACGTTTCATTAGCATGGCCCAAATCAGGTTTGGTGACATTATTTCTGTCATGGAATGGCCAAAATCTACATCATGTCATTTTTGCTTAACAGGAATACTGATAGGAACTGCAAAAGCAGTTTTGTTTTGGTTACAAATTATTTACAATATTAATGGTAATAATTTGCTTCAAATATATGTACGTATATATTCACCAAGGATGATAAAATCTTAAACAGTATCCCAGTCCTGAAGGCGCTATAAATTAAATAGGTCCCATATTCGGTACTTCCTTTGACTTTTTTTTATTAGTGTTTATTTTTCAAAATTAACCAGATTCAATGTTCATAGACTCTCTTTCATCATTAAATTAAAATTTCCAATTTCAGCATTTACGTAAGCCAATTGAACTCAATATGAAGCACTCAATTTCACAGATTAGGAGGGGGGAAAAAAAATCCTCATCTTCTGAACTTCTCAAATTCACAAGTTGTTTGTTTGTTTGTTTTTTTTTTTTTTTTTTTTTTTTTTTTTTGGGTTTTTCATAAACAAACTCAACAAATCTTGGATTCCAATCATGTTAAAACAGTGAGAACAACATATATGAAAATAGAGGCAATAACAAATTAGTATATTTCTCATATGATGTTTATGTAGTTAAGCGATATTTAAGGAGAGAATATTATCATATACCATTAAAGCGATGCCGGTGACCGTTGCCCACGAGTTGGCGAGGGTGGCGCCGGCGAGCTCAAGGCGGCCAAGGTGGCCAGCGAACATGACAGAAACCAAAGTGATCAAATAGTAGAAAACGTTGGTCAGAATCATAGGCAGAGAAAACAAAACCTGTGTTTTTGCCTCCTCTTTGTCCAACACTTTGTTCCACCATTTCTGTCCTTCCTCATCTCCATGCCTAACACGTTCCTCTAATAACTCTACTTCGCTTGTTGCCATCTCTCTCTCTCTCTCTCTCTCCTCTCTCTCTCTCTCTCTCTACTTCTTCTTCCTTATCTTATGTTGCACCAGCTAGTATATTGTCCTAGAACAATAGGTGATACTCGGTAGCAATCTTAAAGTAGTAATAAACAAAAGCTATTGTACAATTTTGTAGGTCTCAGTAGTGTTGAAATTTTAGATGTGCCGTCAATGATCGTTTGAAAAAATTAAATTTATACCTGTTGTTTATACCTGTTGTTTGAATCTGTCTGTCCGAACCCGAAAATGATATTAAACGAGCTTCAAGCAGGTCCTAGTTGCCTGAAACCCGGTCAGGCTGGCTGAATAATATATATATATTATATAATGTTGGTGATTAATTGTATTATGTATATAAATAATTATTAAGTTATTTATTGTAAAAATTATATAAAAACTATAATTAAGATTAAAAATTTAAAATTAACACACACTATTAAGTATTAACATAAATCAATTCAAAAAATTAGCCATTGATCGGGCTTCGGGCAAATCAAGTTGGAATTCGGGTCTGAGGAAAAAAAAAATAAAAAAAAAAATCGACGGTTGGGAGCTTTGGTTCAGCAATGAACTTCTGCGATATTGATTTTTCTCAAATAGCCTAAGAAAGTACTTGAACGGGCGGCCTTAAGTGCCTTGCCCGCAGAGCCTGAAAAATTTAGATTTTGGACAGATCTGTCAGCCTAAAGTTTCAACACTAAGTCGCAGTGAAGACGGGAAAATAAAATAGAAAGAAGGTGTTGCTTTTATATATGTCATGTGGACTAAAAGTTTTTTGGCCATTAGGACCATTAGGATAGATAGTCTTCTCTCTCACTTCAAAACTTGAACGGCTCAAATTAAATTAAGTATTGGAAGTTTTTGTGAACATGAAATGTTGCGTGTGTATGTATGTGTGTGTGTGTATATATATATATATATATATATATATATATATATATATACACACACACTATTTGTATGTATGTGATCAAACAAGATTCATTTTCAAGATGGGGGAAAGTATAAACTATGTAGTTGGTGATTAGGCCCATTATATCAACTCTGACAAAGTAGTTCCATATATTTTGGCGCTTTAAGAAAAACATAATAGGAGTTTCTGACGGACACAATAGTATAGTATAGTCTATGTTTTTGAACGTTATATTATGAAAATTAATATTAAAATAAAAAAATATGCAATATATATAAATATATATGCTTGTGAGTTTTTCCATACTCTATCAATTATTCTCAAAAAAAAAAAAAAAAAGAAGAAAAATGTATAACATGAAGAATTGACAATTGTGTCATAAATAATTGAGAGAGAAAAGCATATCCCAGTGACTGGTCCAAAAGAACCAACCGCTCCAAATGCGTCCCGTTCTCATTTCTATCTCAATCTCATCTCTAGATGGACACTAAATAATTGTTCAAAAATAATAGAAAATAAGTCAATATAAAAAGTTTAAAAAAGTATATAAGTCAATTTTTAATTATAAAAATTAATAGATCATAACTTGTCAAGTTATGACAAGTTATGGTTCATAATCAGATAAATTATGGACAAAAACTGATAAAAACTTGTCAAGTTATGGTTTATAACCAGATAAGTTACGGACAAAAACAGTAATTTGGCCTATTTATTAATTTATATAAACTATTAGCTTATTAATTTTAATTCATCTTAATCATGATTCGTGGTTCGCTACAGTATTTTCTCTCACAAAAAATATACGTAAATTGAAAATGATTCTAATCACATGATTCTAATCCATGAACCAAACGGGCTCTAATTGCTTGAAGGGGTATTTTGGGTTTGTGTGTTTACACTATGTTTTGATCGTTTGGTTAGAAAGCAAGGGTCACGATTGAATGAAAGGCACCCTATTTTAATTTTCTGTATATCTGACATGCAGCAGAGTGTCAAAATGAAAAAGAAAATGTTAAGAAGGAAGGATTTAAAATAACAAAAGGACGTGTAGCTTCTAAGGAATGGGTATGATAGATGATAAATTGATATTTATTAGAAATACATATTCATATGACGAATCGTTGAAGAAGATTGCTTTTCTGTTTAACTGAAGTTTTATTTCGTTGAGTAAGAGCAGAACAAGCAATCGATTTCTTATGCTTAATTCTTGTAAACAGATTAGGACTTGTTTGGTTGCATTTTTGAATTATGGTGACTTGAGTGTAAATTTTGAGTTGAATTTGAGTTAAAGTTCTAATTTGAGTTTGTGTTTAGATGTCCACATTTGAGTTATGATTTGAATTGAGAATCTATTTGAATTTATGTTTCAGTGGGTCAAAACATGAATTTGTATTTAGATAATATTTTAATAAAAACTCAATGGTGATGAAAAAATTTTAATAGAATATATGGGTGGGGTTTTATTCGTCTCTTCATTGTGAATGCATAGAAAAAAAAATCATCTCGATCGGAATTAAAATGAAAAAGTTATGACGTTTTTAAAAATATAAAAAATACTGTTCATTAACTTGAGTTTGAGTTTAAGAACTTGAGTTGAAGGGGAAACTTGAACTCAGATTTTAGCTCCAAACTTAAGTTAAAACTCAAGTTCAAACTCAAATGTTACAAATGAATATGATTTTGAATAAAGTTGTATATTGAGTTCAAACTTTTTTTGAGTTTTACTCAAAAAAAACAAGATGTAACTTATAGGCAATGTATGTGTATCTCGTTTTGTCATTCTGAAATGTTATTGTACAGTGGGGTTGTTCTTTTGTCCAAAAAACTTAAAAAAAAAGACAACTCGAGTTCCAACTTTATTCAAGTTCATATTTTTTTAAGTTTCAACTTTACTCAACTTTATTCAAGTTATAACTTCAACTCAAGTTATAACTCAAATTCAACTCAAAAACTACACTCAAGTTATACTCCAAAAGAACAACTAAAAATTTGAACTAGTGTAAATAAAGTTACAATTTTTTAAAAGTTCTATTTTCTAATTTCTTAATGGGATGTAGATAAAAATTGAAAATTGGGCATAATGTGTTAGAACTTTGAATTGGTTAACCAGGAAAAATGGATTAAGTCAGAATATTAGGGCTTGTTCTTTTGAGTGAAAAATTCAAAAAATGCAACTTGAGTTACAATTTTATTCGAGTTCATATTCTTTTAAGTTTAAACTCGAGTTTATGACTAAAACTCGAGTTCAAGTTTCCCCTTCAACTCGAGTTCAGAAACTCGAACTCAAATTAATGAACAATATTTTTTCTATTCTCAAAAATGCTATAACTTTTTCGTTTTAATTCTGATTGAGATGATTTTTTTTCTATGCGTTGACAACGAAAAGGCGAATAAAATTCGACCCATATACCCTATTAAAATTTTTCATCAGCATTGAGTTTTTATTAAAATACTATCTAAATATAAATTCAAGTTTTGACTCACTCAAATACAAATTCAAAAAGATTCTTATCTCAAACCATAACTCAAATGTAGCATTGATTTATTTTATTATGTCTCTGTATTTTTAAATGTGATGTTACACTTTTATGATTAAAAAACATCACACCTTTTATCCATTAAAAAATTTTAATCAAAATTTTAACATGTAGTAACAATATGAGTTTTTAAAGTTTTTTTGCGCCTCAGATCTTCAAAAAGTGTAACTTGTTATTTTTATTCATAAATAATGTTAATATACTCTACCAAGACATAAAAATACAAGAAATTCATGAATATTATTCGGGAAATAGGCCTTCCATTCTATCAAAATTTAGGTAAATAAAAAGAAGGAAAATAGTTGAAAATAAGTCAATATAAAAAACTTAAGAAAGTATATAGGTCATTTTTTAGTTATAAAAATTAATAGGCCATAACTTGTCAAGTTATGGTTCATAATTAGATAAGTTATGGATAAACTTGTCAAGTTATGGTTCATAACCAGATAAGTTACAGATAAACTTGTCAAGTCATGGTTCATAACCAGATAAGTTATGTATAATAACTTGTCAAGTTATGGTTCATAACCAGACAAGTTATGGACGAAAATAATAATTTAGCATATTTATTAACTTATGTAAACTATTAACCTATTAATTTTCATTCATCTTTAAGTCTTGCCATATTTTCTTCTTTCCTCCTATAAAAGAAATAGGAAAAATCTATGGTAAGGGTAGTACTTTCCTTCTACTAGTACGATGTGTAACAAAGACCATAGATCAAAATTTAACGGTTAAGATTGAAGATTTGCACCAAAACTATTCTAAACTACATTGCACATGATTTCATCCAAATTAAACTAACTTAACTCTCAAGTTCTACATTAACTGAGTTATTATTTATTTATTTTCATGTTGCGCCCATTAAACAACAAATCAACACGAATAACTTGTAAAAATTAAGGCTCATTCAGTTTTAATTATAACAGAAAAAATTAAAAATAATTTTTATAAGAGTTTTTAATTATAATAAAATTATAATTAAAAATTAGAATTTGTAAAATGAATCAGCCCTAAAAACTTGCTCAACGGAGCATTAATTTGACCTGAAGCTAATTTAACAAATGGATTTTAACTTGATTGAGAATCTTTGATATCCTGTTTGGCAAATAAGGTTTTGGTTTTGAATTGGTACTTTGGGGAACAAATGATCCGAGTTTAGCACTTGAACTCGGTTTGGTATTTGAATGTTTGGTCGTTGAGAAACTGAGAGAGAAGTTCTAATGAAGACACACGACGGTGAACCCATGGCGACATGATCCCTTCTATTCTTCGTCGGCGCGATCTGGAATGGGGGGTGATCTGGACGGAGCAAGGCTTGGGGAGATCTGGGCGGAGTAGAGCTTGTCTCGCCGGAGTGGTGCGATCTGGGCGGAGCAGACCTTGGCTCGCCGGAGCGGGGAGATCTGGGCGGGACGGAGCCACGATGGCTGAGCGTTGGGAGAAAGTATAAATTGTTTTTTCATTTTTTTATTTGTGTTTAGGCTGGATTCGGTGCGGGAGAGACCATGTACACCCTCATTGAGATTTAGATGACGTTTGTTTCAAAAAAATTTGTCTGATGTAGGATTATGATTCGTGATTTTATTACAGTATTTTTCTCTTAAAAAAATTTAAATTTTAAAAATTAAAATCATGAACTAAACGTCACCTTAATATGAAACCGTTAAGAGGACGTTTGGTTTATGTATTCAGAATTATGATTTAGAATTATTCTTGTTTTACGTGTATTTTTTTTTGAGAAAAAACTGTAAATAACCATGAATTATGATTCAGAATCAGCAACGAATATAAGAAA